AGGATAGAAGGGAGAATTGATGCCTTTGAGCTGTGGTGATGGAGAAGAGTATTGAATATACCATGGATTGCTAGGAGAACAAACAGGTTTGTTTATCCTAGAGAGGTTGAGACTAGGCCTTGGAGAGGGACATGCCTTTGAACTTTGGTGCTGGAGAAAAATATTGAATATATAGCTAGGAGAACAAACAAGTTCGTCGTGGAGAGGGTGAAGCCAGGCTGCTCCTGGGAGGCAAGGATTCTTAAGCTCCATCTGACATACTTTGTACATGTTGCAAGGTGGGATCAGTCCTTGGAGAGGGATGTCATGCTTGGGAGGGTAGGACAGTACAGGAGAGGAAGACCCTTGGTGAGATGAGTTTATTCAGTCATTGGGGTAATGGGATGAGCGTGTTGGAGACAAGATTGGCAAGGGATAGAACATGGTTGAAGGCTGCTGTGCATAGCGTTGCTATGAATTGCAAGTGACTTGACAGCAGATAACAACAAACAACAACAACAATGATTCTCCCAAGTCTGTGATTAGGGTATATGAAGTATGCTATTCTCCTTAGGAAGACTCTCCCCTTCTCATAAACCCTTCTGTGCTCTTTACAGTAAATGTACTTGCTGGGAAAATGTTCAAGTAAAAGAGTAATTTTTCTTCACTGCCTCCCACCCCTCCCCCCACTATCAGTTAGATTGAGGCTGAAGGTGGGACTTCCTGTCACAGAGCCACTGAGAGAGCTCAAGTGGGTGATCTCGAACAGATATTGAGGGTGGAGCTTATTGGTTGCAAGAACAGAAACAGTTCCAGAACTAAGTCATGACATTCAGCTGCTGAGGGTTCAGTTAAATGCATCTTAGGGTAAAAATGTGCCGAATAACAAGACCAACCATCATGAAGGGGCAATTGCTCACTCTGCTGGGACTTCTTTGCACCCAGGTTTGCTGTGAGTTGGGGTATCCCAGGTGGGATTTTGCAGCTTCAGTATTATTGATGGCAGAGGAAGAAGACCTCATGAAGACTTCCGTATTTTCTATCTTTTTGTTAAACTAGGACATTTCCTAGAAGTTCTACAGAAATCATTAACCATGACTATTGTTCTTGTCTTTTTTGATCAGCTGTGAGAGGGGTGCAGGTGGAGCAGAGCCCTCCAGTCCTGAGCCTCCAGGAGGGAGACAGCTACATATTGAGGTGCAATTTTTCAACTTCTGTGAGGAATGTGCAGTGGCTTCATCAGAATCCTAAGGGACGCCTCATCAGCCTGTTTTACATTCCTTCAGGGACAAAGCAGAATGGAAGATTAAACGCCACGACGGTAGCTAAAGAACGTCTCAGCTTACTGCACATTTCCTCTTCCCAGACCACAGATTCAGCCATTTATTTCTGTGCTGTGGAGCCACAGTGCTTCCCCAGCACCTGCAGCCTGTACGCAAACTCTCAGCTGGGCCATCCCCTCCCTCGGGTATGGCCATGCCACAGCTGCTTTGCACAGCTTACTGTTTGCTTTCCATTTAGTGAGGTTTTTACAGCAGATACCATTATTGGGACATTTGGTCTTTATCTTCTCTTTTCATTTTACACCTCACCTTACATTTCCAACTTGTAATTAGTAGAGAAATTGACAAAAAAAGACAGAATAAAAATAAATATTTAAGTATATGACAGAATACTACTTGTGCTAAACTCCCAAAGGTCAAAAGATGAATGAAATAAAAAGGAAAAAAAACAAACACCCTAATAGAAATGTATCAGGTCTGCCTAACTAGAGTGTCTCAAGAAGCAAGGGAAAAATACTTACACTCATATTAATAGTGTAGTAAGGAAAAGGAGAAAAAAAAAGCTTTGCTGAATATTCATATGTTGATAAACTGTTGTTGTTAGATGATGTTGAGTTGACTAGCACTAATATGAACCGGGGATCTGAACTTTGCCCTATCCTGTGTTGTCTTTATCATCTCTAATATACTTGAGTCCATTACGCTGTGTCAACTTGGTGAGGTTCTTCCTCTCTTTTACTGACCTGCCACCTTTCCAAGGACTAGTTTCATCCTAATCACTTGTCCAAAATACATGTGACAAAGTTTCATCATCTTCACTTCCAAAGAGTATCCTGGTTACACCTTCTTCAAGACATATTTGTTCTCTAGGCAGTCCTTTTGGAATCAGTACTCTTCTCCACACCACAACTCAATGCATTGATTTTTCTTCAGTCCTCCTTATTAATTGTCCAACTTTCAGATGCACAACAAGTAATTGAGAAGATCATTGCTAAGGGGCATCTTAGTCTTTAAACTGATGCCATTGCTTCTTTAACACCTTGGAGAGATCCTTGCCTGCAGATTTGCCCAAGGAAACATGTCTTTTTATTTCTTGACTGCTGGTACCAAGTGTGTTGATTATGAATCTAAGCAAAATGGAATACTTGACAGTTTCAATATGTTATGCATCTACAATGATGTTGTGTATTGGCATATTGGTGAGGATTTTTGTCTTCTTAATGTTAAGATGCAATCCATATTGCAGACTGTTGTTGTTGTGGTTAAGCGCCATCGAGTCACAGGCGACTCTTAGTGACCCTATGAATGAAAGTCCTGGACAACTCCTGTATAACTTTCGTCCTTTCTCCAGGTTCATAGGGTTTCCAGAAGCAAGCTATTAAGGAAGCGGATGCCACTCCTGCTACCAAGCTTGTTTTAATCAGGGAGCTTCACCAAACACTGTACACTATTGGTAACCATTCTCGCATTTGTCTCATCAGTGTCACAGTGTTCGGCTTCACAGCAACCATGAGTTACCTCTGTACAGCAAGTGCATATACCAGGGTTACACAACCTACAAGAATGTTTCACCAAAAACAATTAAAAGATTTTAAGTTAGGGCCTGGAACAGGCTCCGCAGGCTTGACCCCACCCTCACTTACCCTTACTCTAAGGGTCAGGGCTGCCCATGCAGCTTTGAAAGCCAAAACGGACAGTAACACAACGCAAAAGACCCCAGAAACTTCCCTTGCCTGATTGCCACCAAGAGGAGCCGCCATGGAGGTGCCAGCCATCCCACCTGCTTAGCCAGCTGACTTCCAGATTGGAGGGAGACTCCCATCCCCAAGCATTGTAGTCTTATCAAAGACTGTAGTCTTTGATAATCTGGAGCAAGCATTTTAAGTTTTCTTCAATTTTAGCACAAAGTTTTGTCTTCCTCATAATGTGAGTTGTTGATGAGTGGTCCACCAATCCTGATACCATATTTTTCTTTATAAAGTCCAGCCTCCTGAATGATTTTCTCGGCCTACAGATTGACTATGAACCCTCCCCCCCAAAAAAACCAAATTTAAAAAAAAACCCTTTAGAAAGCATGTTCTGTCAATGAATTCTCATTCATCCTCTTTAAGCTTATTTTATGGCCCAGCAAATAGTCGAGGGAATATTGGTGACGAAGTCAGTAGCAAGTTGTGTTGGTAACACAAAGGCTACGTGCCTCTGGCAGTTCAAATCCACCAGATAACCCGCAGGAGAAGAGCAGGCAATCTCTTGTGATTCAAAACTTTGGAAACCAGATATGGAGTCATTATGAGTTGGAATCTATTTGAGGGCTGTGAGTGAATGCATGTGTGTGAGCATATGCTTTATCCTAGCTTTGATTTCTTTGTTGATCCTTTGCATTTGCCTTATGTGGGTAAACATCACAAAGCTCTTTTAGCTCTTCCATTTTAAGCAGTCACAAACATCCCACTAGGGTCAAAGATGCTCAGCTTTATGGCCAGTGGTCAAAATTTAGCTCTTTTGGAGAGTGCCTGGAGGCATCTCACCTGCTTAGCTAACCTCCTGCCCAAAGACACTCAACTTTCTTGCTCTATGGACCAGAAGTCCTCCACTCCGTCTCATTTAAATCACCTTGCACGGACATCTTTGCTATAATTTCTTGCTGTATCTTAAGTCTCTTCAGTGTTACAACTCTGTCTGTCTCTTAGGTCAAAGAATTTCACTGCAGAGATCTTGCATTCAAAAGATATGTTCTCCTCTCTTGGTTCTTTCTTGATGGTAGTGATATCCCTTTTTTGCACTTTTTTGATGGTTCGTTTATGCTTATCCAGATGTCCCTTTTTAGCATTTCATAATTTTGTTTGCATAGAGCCACTCAAGAACTGTGTTATATTTTGTCATTTGCATTACTAAAAAGCCATACAATCACATCAAAATATTTTGTTCATTAACTTTCTCACTTTGTTTGACAATGTATTTTTTTGTGAACAAGAAAAAATATGGATTCCCCCACCCCACCCCAGTCAGTTGAACAGGTAGTTGTCTTCCAAATTTCTTGGAACAGCCTGCTTAGCACATTCTGGGCTATATCTTTTAGTTGAAAAACATCAATTGGTATTTAATTTATTCCTATGGCCTTACTTTTTGCCAGTTTCCTCAGTGCAACTTGAACCTCTTTCTTCATTACTGCTTGATCATAGTCTACTTCTTGGAAAGATTCACCGATGAGTAAGTCTTTTGGTACAGTGACTTACTGAGTTCTTTTCATCTTCTTTTGTTGCTTACTGCATCATGTAACAAATTTATTGAAGATTATTGGGGGAAAATGGCTGAAAGAGTAAATCAAAAGGGTACTGCCAGAAATACAAGCTCGATTTAGAAGAGGTTGAGTAACAGTTATCACATTTATGTCAGGTGAATCTTGACTGAAAGCAGAGAATATAAAAAAGATGTTCACCTGTATTTTATTGCTCATGCACATAGACATTTGACTGTTTGGATCATAATAAACTATATAACATTGAGAAGAACAGGGATCCTGGAACACTTCCTTGTGCTGATGGGAAACCTATGCATAGTCAAAGAAGCAATTGTTCAAACAGAACAATGGTTTATTTCATGGTGTAAAATCAAGAAAGATGGTCATCAAGACTGAGTCCTTTTTCCATACATATTCAATCTGCTTGCTGAGAAAATAATTCGAGAAAGTGAGATGTATGAAAAAGAATATGGCATCAGGGTTAGTAGAGGACTCAACAACCTTCATTAGGCAGATGAGATAAGCTTGCTTGCAGAAAATGAAGAAACATTTAACATAAGAACAGCCTTCAATATGAGTTACATTTCTATATCAAGAAAACAAAAGTTTGTAATACTGAACTAATAAAATAATTGTAAATGGGGGAAAATTGACATTGTCAAGTATTTAACTTGGATCTAAAATCAATACTCCAGCTAGCAAGAAATCAAAAGAAATTGTATTGCACTGGGAAAATTGAGGTCAAGAACTTATTTTAAATGCTAAAAGACAAAGATTTCAGTATAAAGGGTGAGGTGCACCTGATCCAAATCATAGTATTTTTAATTGCTACATGTGCATCTGAAAGTTAGACAATGAATAAGGAATATGGAAGAAGACTCAAAGCCTTTAAATGGTGGTACTGGAGAAATATATTGTATATACCATGGACTTACAAAGGAATAAACAGATCTGTCTTGAGGAAGTATAATCATGGTGCTTAGAGGCAAGGATGGTGAAATTTGATCTCACATTCTTTGGCTATGTTGTTAGAAGGACATTGTCCTTAGAAAAAACATATGCTGGGAAAGGTAGAATATAAATGAAAGGTAGACCTTCAATGAGATAGATTAATATAATGAATGTAAGAATAGACTTGAGCATGTCAGAAATTGTGAGGATGAGAAAAGATAGAGTAAGTTTCACAACTGTTCTTAGGGTAGCTGAAGTTGCCATCAACTCAACACACCAAACAATAAGAATAATTGAGCAAAGTGATTCTACTCATTGACCATGGAGGTGTCTGGAATCTGAAAGTCAGACAATCAGGAGTGAAATGACTCCAGTGTCTCTAACTTCAAACCAATCAACAGCTTTTTCCAAAGGACTAGGCCTCTATCAATTATGCCAACTCATTTATAAGCCAGAAAGTTCAACAGCCCATGAATTTTACAGTTCCCCAACATGCAATGTAAAAGCTCCATCTGTTATACTTAGAAATTGCATCTGAATTGCATATTCTCTTTTGTTAATTGCACACATTAAATTAAATTCTGTCTTTTCATTTCAAATATTGAGTAGTGGTCTCAGTATTTCATAATCGTCATTGTGTATTTTGTTGAGTGACATTTTGAACTCTGACAACTTTTCTTATTACCTGTCTTATACAACCATCACAATTATAACATTAAAGATGTCTGCACTAGTTTGACATTCAATGTTAGCAGAAGTGGCTATTATGCTATCAGACATTATAGAATAATCAACATTTAAGAGTATGGAGAAATGCATTGCTATACGCTATTTGATTATTATTCCAGTCATAATAATCACTTCTACTGTTCTGTATATCTGCTTGTTCCAAAGCTAGTTCTTTATTTATTTGTTTTGAAAACCAAATTACATTTGGGGTGATTCTGTGTCACATAACAATAATATTCCTCACTATATCAGGAAAATACCATTAAAAATAACTGTATATTTATGCACTATGTGACATCTGTTGAGGAAAAACCCAAATTGCATATACATACATGGTCCCATCAGTTTGTAATAGAGTTCAGAAATCTCAATAAGAAAATAGGATGTAGCAAATGTAACAGCTTCATT